ACTGTTTTGTACTCCTCTGTATAGATGCATTTGACAACGACCTCATTATTTCGACTTTGTGGGACCTCAAGAAGGGACAAACGGTTCACATCCCTGTGTACGACTTTGTTTCCCACTCCAGGTGAATGATTCTGATCCACATAAAGGACAAAGTAAAAGCAGTATACTATATAAGATCATAAAACAGCAGTAACATTATCTTAAACAGGATGTCTACTGTGTTGGATTATTTACACTAATCTTTTATCTACATTAATTTTCAAAGCATAGTGAGATGAATGGAAACTGTTTTCTCTAACGCCATTGCTCAGTTCTATACAATCTTTGGTTTAGCAGATGTTGCATACTGAGTGTTTTATTTTGAATGTCTTCTGGTGCGGCAGGAAGGAGGAGACGGTGACGGTGTACCCGGCGGACGTGGTGCTGTTTGAGGGCATTCTCATGTTCTATTCTCAGGAGATCCGTGACCTTTTCCAGATGAAGCTGTTTGTGGACACCGACGCAGACACACGTCTGTCTCGAAGAGGTGAGACACACGAGCATGACGAGGGGCAAATCCCATCTGTTTCTAAACGCAACAAACAAGACACTATTTTATTTTTCTTACAGCTTTTTTATTTTTTTTAGCATTTACTACGAACCTTTTTATACAAGAAGAAATACTGTAGAGATAAAACAAAAAAAGTGACAGTAAATATAAGGTAAAAGGGAATTGAAAAATAATGTGTTAAAAAAGATGAGAAAATATGATTCAACAAATTAAAATGAGATAAGAGCTAAACAGCATAAAACATATATTAGGCCTCAAACCTGTTGTTCAGGTCTCATGCTCGAAAATGACATTTCCAGAACAAATGACCATATCTTCCCTTCTAAAAGGGGAAAATTAATAATCTTTTTTCTCAAAGTAATGATAAACCTGTGAGTTGGATGTAGAAAAGTCAGAATCAATATAGATGTTTTTTATTTTAAAGAAAATTCAGATTGAACATAGTAAAAAAACTGTAAATTATAGTGTCCGTCCAAAAATTATTTTTTACTTATAGTGAAAACTAACCTTGAATGATGGGTTAGTAGACTAAAAGCTTTAGGAATCCAAAGTACAACATATAATAAGTACCCTGTATCAAGATTGATGCAAAACAAGTGACATTCAACCTTTTTTAGAGAGGTTTGGCAAAAGAAACCCACTTCTGGGGTCATTTGGGTGGATTTTCCATATCTCTGGCCCCCCTTGGTCGATTTTGATGATTGACATCTCTTTCTAACCGTCAGAGCCAATGGAATCGAGGGAAAGTTCCACATACACACAGGTTACCAAATAAGCAGTGATAGTGACGCGTAGAAAAACCGGAAGCTGCGCTAACCTCTGGTGGCTACCATTAGCAGCTAATTTTTCTTCTCCGATTTTTGTATAAAAATCGAATTACGGATTATCAATAATTTTTTCAAAGTGACATACACATTGCTATAACCTATGGATTAACCTTCAGCCACGTTTTTTCTCGTTATAATGCCATTGAACACGACTTTTGATCAAAAAGATATAGGAGTTTTAGGAAATAATGTATTCACTTTCCTGCTGGAATGAGATGTTAACATCCGTCATATCTGTAAAGTATTTGAATGCAGTGGTTTGCGTAGTTTAGCTAAGACGAGAGATATAACACATATTTAAAAACAACACATTTGTTTTTTTACCTGGGCTAATGTAGGCCTACCATTATATCCCAGGAGTCTCTGATTTAAATAAACCTGTGGTAGCCTTACATTTACTAAACAAATACAAGAGTCCTGTACAGTAAGTAAGTACAGACTACTGTTATTCACTTTTTCTTTTAAAGCTAACTCTTCCCAAACTTTTTCCCCTGCCAGTTCTGCGTGACATCAGTGAACGTGGACGGGACTTGGAGAGTGTTCTGGCGCAGTACATTACTTTTGTCAAGCCTGCATTTGAGGAGTTCTGTCTGCCAGTAAGTGTGATTCAACATGTACCAAACACTTTGACCCTGAGCGTAGACTCGCGGTCAAACCTGTGTCCTTTTCATTGATTCTGATTAGACCAAGAAATACGCTGATGTGATCATACCGAGAGGAGTGGACAACCTCGGTGAGTATGTGTGCTTTGGAGTTGAGAGAGATGATAGCAAACAAATGGAAACCACATGTTGGAGATCCTAGTCTCAACAGGGTTATCATAAAGGACACAGCTGTTATTGTTGTTGGGAATTGTGCTTTCGGAACTAAGGAAGTCAAAGCATCTGCTGCCGTCTGTTGACTTGAGAAAATAACTTTAACTGTCCAAAACAAAGTGTAAAAGAAAACTAGATACAAGTAAGTCTAAATATGTAGAAGCAGGATACGTAGCCCTGAATTGTGCCTCATGTATTATACCATAACATCAAGTCACAGAGCTAAGCATTCAGTTAATTGAACAAAAAAAATAACTGAGTAAGTCCACAACAAAGCGAGCAGTATGCAGGCACAGAAGTACTCAGAGCTACATGCTAACGTCATTATGACGTATGACTCTTAATGCCTTGTTGTTGTGATCATGTTAGCATAATGATTAAGAGTTATTATTTAAAACTAATTCAGGTTTGGGAAGGACATGGTTTTTATTAAAATGTTTACAGTTTATATTATTGCATTATTTTGTATGAAAATATGGTAACATCAATTTATGTTTAATATTCTTTAGATTCCAGTTGTGACGGCCCCTAGGCCTCAGATCCAATTACAAATAACATATATTTTTTCCCACTACTGTGTCTGGATCTATTGGTTGGAAATGTTTTTCCTGTCTGTTTCCCCCAATATATATATTTATTTTTATTTTTATAAAAGGACAATGATAAGCAGGGGATAAGACAAGACGGTTAGGAACCAGCCACATTTTGAACTGATTTGATGGATGAATAAATGTACATCTGGTTACCTTAGTATGTTATAAAAAGCATGAAATTAGGCCTTTGAAGGAACAGCAGTACGTTTTTAATGAATACCTTCTTTTTTATAATGAAGTATCATTGTGTAACTTTGTGATTTAGATGTATTAGTAAAACATCAGACGCACACTTTGCCTGATCACACAATATCTGTGTCTCTTCCTACAGTTGCCATAAACCTCATCGTTCAGCACATCCAGGATATTCTGACCGGGGGTCTGACCAAGCGGCTGAACGGCTGGTTTAACGGGTGTGGAGCGACGAAGAAGCAGCCGAGCATGGAGTCCAGTAGCCGGCCCCACTGAGGGGCCCCCGGGCAGCAGGGTCAGGAGCGTCCATCGGTACCAACCCAATGTGCTTGGATTGTTTCTGACGATCAAAAGGCCTGTTTAGAGATGATTCTGATGAAATTAATAAGGGACACCAGTCCTCTGTGGAGCTGGTTTAAGGGTTGTTGTGTTTAGTTCCTTTTTTCTCTTTAACTCGTGTACTCTGAGATGGAGAAAACAAAACTCTACAGGGCTACCTTATGATTCACTCACCTTTGCCACGGCGCTGAAACTCACTGAAGAATGGTGTCTAAAACAAGATGTCCGAACACTTGACAGCCTTCAGACATACGGTGAAATACAGTGTAGCAACATGCTTTAAAGCAGGCAGGGCCTTACATGTCTCAATACTCTAACAGGTGCAACATACCTTTATGTTGATGTATGAAGGATATTTTTACTTACAATTCAAATGTACTGAGTTTTCTGTCTTTATGTCCCTAGTTGCACCTCCTCTGTTTTATTCAAAAACTGAATTTGTGTAACGAACCAACCGATTCCACCTCAAATCATCTGATGTATGACATCACCAAAGATCATTTTCTGTGCCATCTGTGTAGAACAATTGTCTTTTTTTTTCTTCGCTATGCGAAACTGCCATTACTGCAATCCATGTAATGTGATGTTGGTAACATTAAGAATTGCTTACATTAAGAAATAACCACAAAGTATTATTTCCATTGATTACTATTAACTTGATGCTTGAGATGCATACGTATGCAAGTTTAATTTAAAGACACACTGAAGATGGTGTTACTAAATGCATTGAGTTGTAAAATGACATGAAGTACTAGTACACAATGTGTTCTGTAAATGTTTAATGGAGTTTTCTTCTTGTATACATTTTGTCATGATAAAGTTCTCAGGTACTCTTTGTTTGCTTGAGTTGACGCACCCATCATTTCCAAGGTCCTGAATTTTCATTTAAAATTACAAGTTGTTTTTTAAGACGATATGTTTAATTCATGTATCTACACATACTTGATGCCATTTGGTAGATGGCAAGAACAAGTTGGGACATTTAGCTTGCTTTGGAAGAGGTCCTTTTGATATTTTTCAGGTAGGATTGTACGAGGTACTTGTCAGTGTATTAGTGATTAGTAATGATGCCCGGAACACCCCCAGGCTGGAGAAACAGCAGGAAGCTGTGACATGTGCTGCTGTGGAGGAGAGCAGCAGCTTCACATAGTTTAGACACCTCAACAACAAACATTTTCAGTTGTTGCTCTATGGCTGCCTTGATTATTTAGTTTTTGTTATTGTATGACTTTGTTGAATTTGAAAATTATTTAAGAACACTTCTGTGTCGCGTAAAATTAATGTATTTGTGAGCATAGATAATGGAAAAAGCTTCTTCTTCACTTGAGTTACATTTCTGGCAGTATTGTGATAAGAAAATGTAAGATCCTCATTGTGAGACTAAAATACAACAGTTTAGTTAGTTACATATATTTTTAGGTGTCAACAATTGAGCAGGGGTCCCACTGGCCTGGGATGTAATGTCACATGTCTGCAGTGTCACAAAGCCATTCTCACTAAGCAGGTCTTCAGTGTGTAGGGGGGTCACACTGGAAAGTGTGAAGTATGTATAATCATACATATGTATAGTAAAAAAACAGATTTGAGTGTGAGTTCATGGACTCTATTCTCTCACAATGCACAGGAGTGAAAATCCTCACAAATCCAAAAAAAACATTTACTTGGAAAACAATTGAGTAGTTTCTATGTGAAGTTTATTAGCAGTGACATTTGAAGACTGCAGTTGTATTGCACTAGTATGGTTTTATTCCATTGTTTAGATCTTTTGTATACTAACTAGTAAAATGGTACTATTAATAAGTATGAAGGATAGTTTGTATGGATATGGGCCACAGAGTATACATTAGGGTAGTTCCCTATTCCAAACTATTTTTAGAGCATACTTCACCTGAGTAGTGAGACTTGATGACGGAAGAAAACATGGTTTTCCTTCAAATCAATTTGATAGTCTAGAGCAGTTATGATTAGTTTCACATTACATAGTACTCAGCTTACGCCCTTTCCAAAGCAACTTACTGACACTCAATACATGTATACCTGAGAAGTGTGGGGTTCATTATGTGGCGCGAGGACTCTTCGTCTGCATCGAACTGCTGACCCCCTAAATGCAGATCAGTGCCCTAACCTGAGCTACAGCCACCCCATATCAGTTGTTCATGGAAAAGTCAACAACTATATACACTTTTTGGAATCTTGAATATGGAGACTTTCTTCTTTTCTCTGTTTTATATCTTGGGAATATCTTTGGGTTTTTACTGAGAAAAAAATCCATTCAAGCTCATTTTCTTGGACTTGGACTCTTAGATGTGTGATGGACATTTTTTACGAGGCATTTTGATTTAGTGAAAACACTCGTGTATGACATTTTAATCAGAAATGTATCATTCGGCAAAAACACGTACTGAAAACATTACTCAGTATAAAAGTTATACAACATGACACACATTTCTCAGGTTTCTTCTGACAACAGCCTGCCCAGTCTCTGTCCCAACACAAACAGCTGCTCAGCATCAGGCACTTTGTTATGGTTCCCATGCTCACTTCCTGCACTATTCCCTGACAGCTGAGTTCTGCCCAAACAGACCCCGGTACAGCTCGCTGCGGGCCTCGTCGCTCACGGAGCTGTGGTCTACAGGAGCCATAAAGTTCATCAGCTTGCTGTGGATGTGGAACCGGACTTTGCGGCCCTTGCTGGCTTTGGTGTCCACCTTCTTCTTGATCTTGCTGCGCAGCTTCTGGATGGCCAGCCACTGCCGGCCCATGGCCACCTGGTCGTTGGGGTCCGATGCGCTTGTCCTGCGCTCGATCAGCTCTCTCAGCAGCTGGTGGTAGAAATCATCATCGTCGAATATATCCTCGTCCAGATCCTTGAGATGCGTGTTGGCCTTCAGCTCCTGTTCCACCTCCTCTCCCTCTATGCAGACGGGCTCAGAGATGACATTAGACACCTCTTTTTTCCCCAGCACTTTGTACTCTGAGCGCCGGGTCTGCGTCCGCCGCACCAGCCTCTCGTTGTCCATCAGCACCTGCTCCACCTGGGTCAGGATGTTCCTGTCGAACGCCCCGAAGCCCTTGCTGCTTTTCCCGAGAGTCAGCCTGGTCTTGTCGTGCCACTTCTGCAGCGTGGCGTTGCGGTAAGGCTGGAAAGCGGCAAAGCGTTTAGCCATGAAGTCCGGGTACTCCGCCATCTCCAGCTTCCGTTTGGGCGCTACACCTCGTACCTCTTCCTCCTCATCGCTGGGTATCTCCTCGTCTTCGTCGGCTGGCCCCACAGTGACGCTCCTGGTGTCGGCGCTCTGCCACAGCAGCTCGTCGTGGAGCTCCAGCAGGGATCTCTGGAGGGCTTTCAGAGCCTTGTGGGAGTTCTTCAGCTCCCCCGCCAGCTCCGCCCCGCCCCTCTTCTTGAACTCTGGGAAGGTCTGCGGCTGCGGGAGCTGGTTGGCGGTGATCACAGCTTTCTGCATTTTGATCCTGCCCTCCAGCAGTTGGTCCCACAGGGCCAGCTGCTCCTTCACAGCCTTGCCTTTCTCCACCTCCTCGTCCACTTTGTCTTGGGAAAACGTGCGGACTGTTCCATCGTCCTCACCTTCTTCATCATCCATCTCAGAGTCGTCGTCATCTTCATCGCTGCCTTCTGACTCTTCGTCATCATCTTCATCTTCACTCACTCCCAGGTCATCCATGCCCTCTGTCAGCTTGTTGAAGTCCACTCCTTGAGGAAGGGTCATCCCCTTTTTCTTAGACGCCAGTTTAGCATCACTGCCCACCTCCTCCTCTTCATCGTCATCTTCTTCTAAATCATCTTCCTCCTCCTCTTCATCCCCCAAAGGATCATCTTCTTCTAGCTCTTCTATACTGCCCTCCTCCTCCTCCTCCTCCTCCTCCTCCTCACCAGATCCCCCAGTTTCTATCAGAAGCTGTTTACGGGACACTGTCTTCCCCACGTACCGTCTGTCGGTGTCTGACAGCAGGGTTGTGTTGCTCTTCCGCAGGGCACTGAGGCCGCCTCCATCTTCGTCTTCATCCTCGCTGAATCTTTCCGTAACTTTCGCGTTGGTCGCCTCGTCCCCGTCATCCTCCGGGTCTGCAAATTTAGGCAGAGGGTTCAACAAGTCCTCAAGCTCCTGAGAAAAGGAGCCCGCCATGGAGGGAGTTTACAACAACCACACGTGCACTGTACTAGGGAGAGTTTCAGGGTGAGCGGAGTGATGACGTTAGTAATATGCGACGAGCCTAAACCAAAGGGATTTGGTTCCCCTTGGTAACGTTTCCAAGGCAAAACCTTTTTCCCCTTTTCATATAACAAACAACATACAATGTATTCATTATAAAGGGGATAGTATACAAACAGAACAATATCAATAGCCGGGTGTATAAGACACTCGCTAAAATAGAATAATGTTTTAATGTCTTAATAGCCGGTATATTCGTGAAATTATAAAGAACAAATGATGTGCAGAACAATTTTTTTATCAGCTAATGTAGGCTTAGAGTAAGGGTTAACACGGAAGTGAAATGAGCACAACCAAACTTCAGCAATAACAATTAACTGCTGAATTAAAGAATAAACTATATTTGAATACTTATTACTAAAAACTAAAGAAAACTATTCATACAGTATATTGAGTTGTATCGTTTTTTTACGCTGACACTATCTGACTGTGCAGGCTATAATAGATGGATGTGAAGTTTAGAGATAGTATCTTTTAAAAATAATTATCAATCGGAATGCAGATTCAAGGATGAACATATTATTTCAATACTCTGTAGCCTACATTTATTTCACCTTAATTGGACATTTTGAGTCCAACAGTTAACTGGCTTTATACAAGGTTTGGAGGTTTTGAACTGTGTATAGAACCCCCTGTAAGGCAGAGTTCGGGGCACTAAGGTTTCATAAACCGGTGACTATCTACGCATGCGTACATGGGTAGCGAGGCTCCAGGTTGCGTTTGCTAGCTGAGTTTTGTTTCGTATGCTTCACCAGAAAGAGTGCTTTCTGGAGAGTAAATATGTCAACAAGTGACTTTTATTTGAGATATTATGTTGGGCACAAGGGAAAGTTTGGACACGAGTTCCTGGAGTTTGAATTCAGACCCGACGGTAAGTTTATTTTGGCGGTAATGCAAATGTATTAGTCTTCCTGCCTCTGAGCTAACGTAGCTAGCCACTCAGTAATGGCTAACGTATGCTAGGCCGCAGTCCACTCTAAACCAGTTGCGAGCGGCAAATGAGTCCTTCGGTTCACACGGTTTTATAAATGATAGTAGTTCATGTCTAGACCAATTCATTATTGCAAACATAATTATTATAAAGACCGTAATATTTTAAGTAATATCAGCAGAGCGTTTAAGCGCCATGTGGCCTGCAGGGAATGGAAATAAACTCATGAGTTTTGTTGGGGGATGCTTTGTTTTACATTTCTACTGTAACGTAACATTCAACATTGTGTTGTAGGCAAACTGAGATACGCAAACAACAGCAACTACAAGAATGACGTCATGATCAGAAAAGAGGTAAGTTATGTCAATAAACGTAAATGGTTGGTCCTGGTATAAAGGGTTAATGACTGCAGGTGTACATACACGACCTCTCTAGGCTTTCCCCCAAATGATGATCCCTCCCCCTTGGTTCAGCTGAAGGAAGTTGAAACATCCATACATTTGTCATATGTGGGCAATAACATGTCATTCAGTGCTTTTTAATAATGCTCAGCTGAGCAGATAGTCATTATTTCTATGCCAAACACTACAAACCAAATCCATGTTGATATCAAGATCGGTTTGCAGGATGTTTCCATATATATTTTCACATCATTTGTGTCTTACGAATGATTGGCCACAGCTCCACAGATGAACTAACGTGTTCTCTGCACCCCCAGGCTTATGTACACAAGAGTGTGATGGAGGAGCTGAAGAGGATCATCGATGACAGTGAGATCACTAAGGAAGATGATGCTCTGTGGCCGCCCCCTGACAGAGTCGGCAGACAGGTTTGTGGCTCAATTCCCCATCAGTGACCATCGTAATTAATTTACATGTTTTTTTGTAATGTATTTTTATTTATTTAAGAAGTTACTATGCACATTAATTAACATGAGCACTTGCGTCCATCATGTAAATGTGTCAGATTTAGCCAAAAAGGCACATTTTCGTCTGCAGTCCCTGGCACGTGGCATTAAAAGAAAGCATACAAGAGCACATATGCCCGATTAAAAGCACATTTGTAAAAACCCATATACACACAAGCAAAAATAAAAGCTTATAACAACAGACAATTGGAAAAACTAGTAAAGCCCCTACTCGAGTTCATGTTTGATTGTCCAGTGTTACAGATTCAGAGAAATAATGGTGTTTACCCATGCTGTTAGCTCCAGTTGTGTTACTTTTTGTTAGTCCTGATTTATTCAGTTTGACAGGGCCTTCCTGAAGCCTTGTAGCCCTTTGGGTTTTGTACAGCATTCTTAGAAAGGGGTATTTTTATAGCACTTGGAAAAAAGTTATGCGACATTTAGGAAATAAGGCTACACATAAGAACAAAAAACATGCCTTTCTATGCTACAGGTTTTAAGACCAAAAACCTTTGATAGCAAAGTTAATTGACATCATTCCAAAATGTGTTTTAAGAGTGGTTATAACTGGCTATTAATTAAGAAGGGGATACCATTTTACTACCATGCTTTGAGCACTCCAATATTTGATCGTGCACATGGATACAGACAGTCACAGATTTTAATATAATCACTGACACCGTAGTGAATTTGACCAAAAACGTATTTAAAGCCATAGCACTAACTTGTCCTTATTTTCTCAGGAACTGGAGATCGTCATTGGTGACGAACACATTTCATTCACAACTTCCAAAATTGGCTCCTTGATTGACGTCAACCAGTCAAAGTGAGTACTGAATGCAGGAGTTGTGAGATGGAGGCTGTTGATTGTTCAGTGACACTGGGCTTTAACCTTTTCTCTTGGCGCTGTGTTCAGGGACCCTGAAGGCCTCCGTGTGTTCTACTACCTGGTGCAGGATCTGAAATGTCTCGTCTTCAGTCTCATCGGCCTCCACTTCAAGATCAAGCCTATCTAAATGTGGATTTTGCACATTTTAATTTCTTTAGCTAATGTTTCTGTTGTTGTACTACCGCATTTGTACATTTGCTTTTGGTGGAACTGTTTTTTATTTTAAATAAAGGTGGGAAAAGAATGTTGTGTCTGAGCTCTGTTATATTTCATTGCAGCTGGTATAAAGGCTTTGTCTGAACATTTAAAGGGGCTCAGTTTCAGTGTGGGAGAGAAACTCTGGAGCCTTTTGCACACCATAACATGCACAGAAAGCTCTCGAACACAATACAGGGAAGGGACTCAGACTGCAAGGAATCTGGGTGTGACCCTGGATAACAACCTGTCCTTCACTGCAAACATCGCTGCTACAACCCGTTGCTGCAGATACACGCTTTACAACATCAGGAAGATACGTCCCCAGCTGACCCAGAAAGCGACTCAGGTACTGGTCCAGGCTCTCGTCATCTCACGCCTAGACTACTGCAACTCCCTCCTGGCTGGTCTACCTGCATGTGCCATCTGACCTCTGCAGCTCATCCAGAATGCAGCGGCTCGTCTGGTCTTCAACCTTCCTAAATTCTCCCACACCACGCCGCTCCTCCGCTCCCTTCACTGGCTTCCGGTAACTGCTAGAATCCACTTCAAGACACTGGTACTTGCTTACCATGCTGTGAATGGATCTGGCCCTTCCTACATCCAGGACATGGTTAAACCGTACACCCCAGCGCGTGCACTACGCTCTGCATCAGCCAGACGGCTCGCTGCACCCTCGCTGCGAGGGGGACCCAAGTTCCCATCAGCAAAAACACGTGGGTTTGCTGTCCTGGCTCCAAGATGGTGGAATGAGCTCCCCATTGACATCAGGACGGCAGATAGCTTACACATCTTCCGGCGCAAACTGAAAACTCATCTCTTTCGACTCCACTTCGAGCGATAGAACTATTAACAAAGCACTTATATACTAATAAAGGACTGGCTTACCTAAAGCCAGTTGAGTAGTACTTGAAATGTTTTTGCTCTATGAAACCTGATGTACTTATATGATTCTGTTTTCTTCAAGTTTGTATCTTCTTGGTCGAACGCACTTATTGTAAGTCGCTTTGGATAAAAGCCTCAGCTTAATGTAATGGAGAAACCAATAAAGCATGATGCCGCTTTAATGTCTTATAGAAATACAGCTATTCTGCAAGGTAAGATGTTCTTGCAACCAAAAAACACTGAAAAAAAGCAGGTGTCATTCAATTAAGTTTAATTTCCAAAAACCTTCCAACACATCAGTAAAGCTATCAACAACAAACATGGATGATTTTTTAGAAGTTATTACAATGACAATCTGCAATTGTGTCTGATATTCACATAATGATAAGGCAGAGAAAATGTCTCCGTGCTCAATTGGAAGTTCTACTTCTGAAAAGCCCTACTGCATAAATAACATGACTAAATGGTGTCATCTGTTACTCTAAGTTACACTAGAACAACAAACCAACATACAGTACGCTGCTGTCAGAATGAACAAACACACTGAGGTCATAAAGCCAGTGCTTTGAATCAGTAGAAGTGGAAAGCTAGCTAATTCCATGTTTCAAATGATTTTCATGTTCGTTGATGTAGTCTTAAATGTTATGTCGCAAGTTTTATTCACTTGTTTTATATCTACAGTAATATTAACACCCAAAGTCCCAACAAATATTCTCATACTTTTAATTCCTAGTGTATTTAAGCACTATCATTCTCCTTGTTTTTTTGTGGTGTATATAATATAATTGTAATCTCACTCTGCATGTTTTGTGCTGAGAGTATGACAGCACTCCCCTTCACTGTCGCTAATAAAATATATATATTTGACAATTGTTTCTTAGCTGAGTGCCTTTCCCTCCAGCACAGTGAAAATGTCCTCGAAGGACTTGTGGACACACTGCAGGAAATCGTGCACATTGCGATCCGGGTAGCTGGACACGTTGCAGCCGATCCAGTCGTCATGGACACCGTATCCAACGCCGAAGCCGTCGGGCACCACAGGGGCGAAGCCGCCGAGGTTCACCGCGGGGCTGGTGAGGGTGGAGGTGGACAGGATGTTGTGGTTGATGGCGGTGTAGGCGGGGTCAGAGTACAGGCTGTGCAGGGCCTGACTCTGGGAGTTAGCCAGGTACTTCATCGCAAACAGGTGGCGGTCGAAGCCTTGGCCTGGAGAGAGGAAGAGCAGGAGAGGTTAGTGCATCAGATCAGAGGATGAGTGTTTCTTTTCTAACTCTTTGGGGTCATTTTTGTGTCTTTTTGCTTTTTCTTAGGCTCTTTGGTCATTGTGTGTCTCTGCATGTTTATTATTTATTTTGTGTCCCTTTTATTTAGTTGTTTTGTGCGTTTTCGTGGCTTCTTTTTGTGTCTCTTTTTGTTGTTTTGTGTGTTTTACGGTCTTTTGTCTTGTTTTTAAAATCTATCTTATTACTTTTTAGTTCTCGTTTTTTTATCTATTTTAAGTTGTTTTGCATATCTTGTAGTAATGTTGTGTTGGGCCCCTAGGCACTGGCCAGGAAACCCAACAGGGCAGGTGTTCCGTGTGCCCAGCTGGCCCATGCTTACAGTGAGTTTAATGAGTTAAACAAATCTTTGAGGGCATATTTTTAGAAACATGCCCTAAATGTCTGCAGAACTTAAACATCGGAATATGTAATGCTTTATAATGTTTCAGATATGTTGTTGAAATGTCTCACCCATTGCTGCCTCTCTGGTGAGCTGCCCGTGATATTTGGAGCATTCGCTCAGCAGACCCTGGAGCTGTTCCACACTATGTTGCCCTGGCTCGCAGACAAAGGCATGTGCACATCGCTGCGTGTGCACGGAGGCCGGTCGGATGGTCTCTGTGCGGCCATGCCTGAAGGCCGCAGTGCTGCAGGACTCGTATGTGGCCACGGTCTGTCCATACTGCCTCAGGAAACCCATCTGGAAGGCCAGCTGAGCTATAGCATCCGGACTCAGCTTGCTCTTCTTCAGCTGCTGCTTGCCGCCTTTCTTGAACTCCAAGGCGTCGATGGTGAGTTTGGATACGGCTGAGTCGAAGTTCTCCTTGGCGTTTTGGATGCCGGTCTCCACCTCGCTGTCCAGGTTGAACTGCAGTCTGCGCACCGCGGAGGAAGAGTCCACCGCAGCAGCAGCGGAGCCCGGGTGGACCAGCGGCTTCTCCGTGGTGTCTTTGAAGATCTCATTCTGAAAGCGGAGCACGGCTACACCGTCGCCCCAGGAGTGCTCAAAATTGATGGCCGCCTGTCCGTCTTTGGTGAGGATGATGCTGAAGGACTTGTCGTACCAGCGGTTGCAGCCGTCTCCGTGCAGCATGTTGTGGGAGATGTGGATGTGGTCCTTCATGCTCTCATCGTCCAGGCTGAGACAGAAAAGCGCGCTGTCGACGACCCGTAAATCCTCCGCGTTTCCAGCAGCTACCAGTTTGTTCCTCAGCCCGGCCCACACATCCCTGTTCTCACTGGTCAAGACCCCCAGAGGAAAGGCCGCAGTTGGTGCTGAGTCGGACAGAATGTACTTCAAGTGGGACTGGATCTCTGCAGGCTCCACCAGATTCCCCTCCTTGTCCACAACGTCAAACACATACATGTTGCCATTCCTCATTACCAGCAGATGTCGCGCCTTCTCATCCGTGAAGAGCTCATCTCTACCAGTCTTTGGGATACGAGAGGAGTTGAAGAGGCGGAAGTACTGAGACATGTCCAGAGGGTAAGCGTTCACCATGTAGGCTCCGTACCAGGACAGGGAGGAGGGCACCCAGCGGATGAACCTTTTGAAGCTGTCCGTGTCGCTCTTTGCCGGGTTGAGGTGGAAAACCTCTGGCTCCAGAATCCCGGCCCGCAGCGTCTTCATGAAGCGCACCGCCGAACACACCATGTTGGTGGAACGCACGAGCTGATCATTGTACTCCGTCTTAGGGTCGGGGTTGAAGGACATGAAGGGGTTGAAGTTGAGCACCACGGAGTCCCGAGCAGAGAGGTACATGTCGGACCACGGCCCTGAGATAAAACCACATTCATTACTGACTGAATGTTTTTGAGATGATCATTTTCAGGGTGCTGAAGATCACATTATTCACCTGAGATGTAGCTGGTGTGCTTATTTCTTTTGTCCTGCGCGACCAGCTCCTCGTGCAGCTGTTTCCCAACACCGCTTTGGAAATCTTGGGTGAGTTTCTCTGTTGTTCTAAAGACACACAATTAGGATTGTTGCAGGTTAGATCAGGTAGTGAGTATTAGAAGCACTCAAAGGCAAAAGACTCACTTCACCATCAGCTGCCGAATCCTGAGCAAAACTGAGCAATTCAGCATTAATATATTAGAAATACTAGTACACCACTGTATATATGTAATGTATATATATTGTAGTACAATGTGAACATTTGTACTTTAACCTTTAATGTTTGTATAATTATTTAAAAAAAAAATTATTTGACATTTTACCTTAAAGGTGGGGTAGGTACGTTTGAGAAACCGGCTCGAGATACACTTTCTGTTATATTCCATGGAATGTTCTTAACGTCCCGATAGCAATGAATATCTTAAGTGCTTTGACAATAAATCCATAATAAATGTCATCTGTGGAAGCTGTGGTGCTGTACAAAGCACGACCAATCATCTGAGCCGGCCCGGCTAAAGTAACTGGACGGCCTACCTGCCTGTCAGCCTTCCATCTGTGCACAAACTTATCTCGTGCCCTCATTGGTCATGTGCGCGTTCGTGTGTGTTGGAGGAGGGGCTCTGGAAGGAAGTCTGAAGGAAGTGGCAGATTTTTTCCGGCTGTGTATTTTAAAATTATAGCGCACTCGAGCCGGTTTCTCCAAAATGACCTACCCCACCTTTAACTAATTATATTTATGTATATCTTATTTTATCTTTTTTTTGCACATTCTTGTTTTACTATCTTGTTTTTTCATTATCAAATGGTGCAACTTTGACAAAACCCCATTTCCCGTCATGATAAATAAATAAAGTATTCTGAATATGATTGACTTGTACGTTTTAAATAATTGAAATATAAAGAGTTGATTTCCTCTCTTAAATCTCACCTGAACTGGTCATCATCCAGCAGGGGCTTCTGGGCAGCTAAATACCTCCTGACAGTATCCTCCAGCTTTGGTATGGGTAGCCTGAACAATTGAACAGAAAACATGTGATCAAGGGGAAAATAAAGCCTCTCAATTTGATGTATTTAATAATATAAATAACATAGAAACACTTTCAGGTGAACATTGCAGCAGATATATAGCAGATTAACTTATATCAATACAGTTTGATACACATAAGGCAGAACCTAAAATGAGACCAATAATACAACGAATACAATTATTTAAAAAACTGAAGTAAACAGAAGCACATACACTTAAAACATATTTAGTCAGAGATTTCAGGGGTGAACAAAGTTCTATATATTAAAAAAAATCTTTGTACTTTAACTTAACTTTAGTATAATTAGTGAATCAAGAAAATATTTACAATCAAGAAAAAACATTAAAAACGTGGGATGTGATTAAAAAACATTTATTTGTTTGTGTATTAAAAGTAAATTGCATGTCGAATAATGAATCATATGTTTAAGAGCACTTTCAACTGGATTATCATAATGAAAATAAAACGTTTAATTGTGTAGGATGTGTCACAATGAAAAAAAGATATATAATTGTTTTGATATTCTTTCACAAAAGGTACAAGTAATATGAATATCTGTAATATAGTGATAAGCATTATAAGCAGTATATTATGTCCACATTTTGGAAAGTGCCTTGTTTGGAATACATCAGGGTAAAATCAAGCCCATTATCCAGTTCATATTCTCACATTAATAATAATAAACCAACCTTTCTTCTACAGTCCAGTAAGTCTTTATGTCAGTGTATGTCATGTCGCTGCCCCCTGGTGGTCATCGACCATAAATCAAGTGTGCACTTTCACCTACATCAATCTAAAAGCTGAATGGGTCACCTTCTTTATTTTAGAACCGCTTGCTACATGCCCCTGTTTGTTCCGAAGTAGTTTAACTTAATTTAAATCCAAAGGTTGTGTCGAATAAAAGCTATTCTCTAGTTAATTTAACAAAATGTGCGTGTCCAATTTGACACTGCTTACCTGGGTAAACTCTTCTGGTAGTGCATCGATGGAACGACACTCTGGTGAAGGTACTCGCCTGAAGCGGCTGCCTTTTTGCTGCTGTAGTTTCGCTTATTGATTCCCAGAGAAGCAGCACCTCTCAAATGAATAAGTCTTCCTGGTTTCCTCAGTGAGGCAACGCACTGCATTGGTAGCAGACTAGCCATGGTGCTAAGTAGCAAGCTGAATAACTATGATCGACGTAAAGCACAGTTTAAAGCTAATGGGCAAAACCAGAGAGTGGAAAGTGTCACTACCGGTCACTACCCGATCCGCATTGCGCATGTGCGAGATGGTCCGCCATATTTGACAACTACATACGGCAACTCAAATAGGACAGTTGACACAGTGGCGTTTGGCAAAGCAGAAAAAGAAAACAAAAAAACCCCGACAATATTAATCTGAACGAGAGAGATGAGTTATTGTTAATACAATGTGACTTCACTATTATTTAACAGCTCCTTTTATTGGGTCCTTTTATTGGTTTAAGTACATTGTCAGAATAAGTGAGAAATTGATTTAACTTCTGTTAGACAGCTATCATACTGAAGAAATATTGACTGTGAATGTATGCAATATTCAATATGTATGGCATTCATAATTTATATATAATTATATTAACTGTGAATGTCCTAACTTTTATTTCAAATAAAATAAAATAACATAAAAGATGTTTGTATAGATATTTGATACGTTTATGACTCTCGCATGCACAGGCCCGGCTCCAGGATGAAATGACTGAGGGGGCTGTTAAAAAATCAGAGGGGGCGGTTTTTTTTTCACAACAACGAAAAATACTGGCAATGTAATGAATTGACACACAAAGCTTTTTTCCTTCTCACTGCTCTACAATCTCTTTGCTTCTTTATTTTTATTCCGGATATACCCCTCTCATTCTGTTGTTTTCCTCTGATCTTTAATAATAGATATTATCAGATGGCTGCACTTTGGTTAACAGACTAACATTGATTTGAATTTATACATTGATTTCCTCAATGTATAAATTGACAGGCTCTGTAATTATACCCTAACCCAGGGGTTCCCAACCCCCGTGAAATAGCTGTGAGTTTATCGTAATATTTGCAGAATTATAAATATATTAAAAAAATTATCATAATATTTTTTTTATATTCATATTATTTCATCCAGTAGCCTAGTTAATCTTCCACCAGAAAACCGTTGAAAATGGCTTTTATGATGTTCCGAGGGATTCGGCGGCTCAGCCTGGTCTCAGCCTCTCGAGCGCATGAGAAAGTTCCGGTGCGCCAAGTAGGAAGAGGAGCGCACAGGAGACAACCGTTTAATTGCAGACTGTTGTGTTTATGTGGGGAAATGGCAGTGCATTATTTGAGAAACTCGGACTTCATTTTAAGGACATGTCGGCCAGGGGTGTAGAGCTATTGTTTAAGCACCGGATTGGCAAAACAGGAGAGTAAACCAGTCTGCCTTGATCTATGAATTCATGTTCCTTCACTTCACTCCTTCACTTCATGAAATGGCTGCAGCATCAGGAGGCAGCGGGACGTATACTCCGCCTCTGAGAAGTGCAGCACCAGCGGGTAAAGATGTGCCTTTTTACGCACCGCCTTCGCTGTGTTTACCTTCATCAGAACAGCGAGTGACTGCAGGGTGCTACGTGCACATACACCTCTACACACATATCTACACACATCTCTACACATCGAACTGCCCGATTACTCCCCCTTTTATTAGTTTTATGAAGGAGATGTCCAGTCACCGCGCATGATGTGTGTGTGTGTGTGTGTGTGTGTATGTGTGTGTGTGTGTGTGTGTGTGCTCTGCTCTGCTCTGTGTGTTCGGTGTGTTTGTGTCTGTCCGACACCGGCATTTGTTTTCAAATTACCATGAACAGTAATTTACACACATCTGGCTAACTCCATAGGTATATGCGGGTGTTCCCATAAAAAGTTAGTTTAATCTTAATCTCGATGTAGTGCTAAATGCTGTCGGAGTGCACCGGAACGAACTACAGTATTGTTTGAGACGCGTTGCGGCTCGCCTCGAAAGTAGGCGAGAATAGCCGATCGCAGCCGCACTCAAAGAAATAACTCATTGGATTAACTCAATTTTATTGTTGGCAGGTTTTCCATCCAATAAATATATGTGGCACAAACTCAAACTAATGGCATCCATGCAGTATAATGTAAATGAGTTAGTCCAACTCAAATTTTTCAAATAGAGTTTAAGTAAAATGATAACATTACCTTTATGAATTTAGATAATGCTAGTCCACCTAAATCCTATTTAATTAATTGAAAATGAAATAATGAGGTTAAATATAATTTAATAAAAATGTGTTACACATGATAGAAAACATGGTTTAGTTGTTTTTATTTTTAAATTCACATTATTCAAAACAATCCTCCATTCCATTCAATACAGTGTTTTAAAAATGAATGAATTCACATTGAAAGATGAAAAACATTTCTGAAAGATAATACCATTTTTAAAATGGCAGAGAAATGGAACTCCTATAATTAACTTACAAATCTCCCTTTGCCAAATACAATGAATACAATATAACAGGGGTATGCACTGCTCTTCTAACAGGACAATAACACATAACATGAAGAGTGCACTGCAAACACCAACATATGGAAATAGTGTTACAGTGTGTTGAAACAAACAAATACAGAAAAGCACAGAACAAATGATTGATATAACGGCTCAATCTGCTCTGACTAGGAAACTCGTGAATAAAATGACAACAATGAACTCATGAGTCACTTCTTTTTCACATTTCAATCGAACAACTTGATCTTCAGACTTTCGATTTTACCATTCAGCTTGTGCCCATCCAGATTCATCACTACCTTCTGCATGAACTCGAAGGTGTGTTTGAGGTTTTCCGGAAAGCTCAAATCCAGGGCATAAATAAGTCCCAATAGCATGACAAACTCCACAATCACGCTGCCCAAGTTGTCCATGACTATATTGCCTTCGATGACAATTCCCACGTCCTCTGGCTGCCCATCCACATCTCTTTGAAGTGTGTATATGCCCATGACTGTGTTTGCCATGTCCCTCTTGGCATCTTCAGAGGCAGAGGCCTGAACAAAGACACAAACATACAACACATGTGTTAACTAAAACCTGAATTACTACATTTTATAGAAGCAGATTTACTTATGTGGCAATTCCTAATTGATCAAAACAGTTTTAGACTAACCCTCTGGTATCACTCAAATGTACTACCCTATTTGGCCACTCAGGATAAAAATGTCCACTTTCAAAAACTTGAATGATAAAATAATATGATAAAAATATTATATTTAAATATTTTCCCCCCACACTTTTTGGGAAGTGTGGGAACATTTTTTAAATGGACAATTAGGGTAATTTGTACACAGTGTATTCGAGACCGATTAGAAAAATTGAAATTCCAAAAAGTATCTAGAAAAAACACAAAATCATTATAGCCAAATCTGACGTGAAAAATTACCAATTTGGACAAAAATGTCCGAGTGATACCAGAGGGCTAAGGTTAGGACCTCCAACACAGAACTACATTAATCTTGTAAGAAAATGTTTGCATAAATAAGTTATAAACATATATTCCTGTATGTTCTGTTTGATTATCACCTTTATCTTATTTATTCATTCAGGTATTAAGTTATTTGTTTACATCCCTACTTAATCATGTAATTTGTTGTTATTCCTGTAGTTAATTATGCATTTACCTACTTATTTCGATATGTATTTGATTATTTATTCTTTAATAATGTATTTCCTTGATTTATGTGATTATGTAATTATTCCTTTAACAATTTAGTAATTGCTGCATTCACATACCTTTTTAAACATGAATCTATTGATTAATATATTTCTGTATTTCAGCATTTATTTATTATTTTATTTATGTATTTATTCAATTATTTACAAGTTCTTACATATGTATTCATGTCCATATTTATTTATTCATTTATAGATGTATTTATATATAAATGTAAATATTTATTTCAGCATTCATTTATTATTTGTATTTATTTCCAGATATATTCATGTTTTAATTCACATTTGTATTTATCAATTGTATTCCTATGTTAATTTATAGATGTATTTATATCTGTATAAATGTATTAATTCACTTTTTTCTATATTTATTTTAACACTTGCCCAATGAAATTACTTCTGTATCTATTTTTTTATTTCTGTATTTATTCATTCTTACATATATTCATTCCTATATTAATGTATAGATTTATTTATTTCTGCATGTATTTATGATATGTGATAACACATCTAGATGTAAGCAGGGATAGGGTTGTGTGCCATAGCATTTTCTTATTATAAATGTAAGTAATGGTGGTTATAATTGTGGATAACACTGTTAACCACTACATTGAAAACATATTGTGATAAACATACCTGATACTCCTTAAAAAAAGAGTCTGGATCCTCGTTGAGGTAGATCGCGATGCTTCGCAGGATGCACCCCCTCTTGATGTGGATGTTTTCAAACTAAAGCAGGGGCGATAAATCAAAGACAATTAAGCACAATGCATGTGCAACAGAGCAGGTAGTCTACAAAGTAGAGGGCTGTATCTGTCGTGTGTGTCCCTAAGCAGGACTCCTTACCCCTACATTTCCACAATAAGCTATTGCCTTAAAAACACTATAAAAGCAGACAATTTCTTAAATGTGTTCATATGAGCATGGACAAAAACAATACAGTGAAAAACGAGGTTCTTTGCATTTATACTAACCGAATCTGATATTGCAAGGGCTTCCTTGATTTTGTGCCCCTTCAGTCCTCCTTTGGTCTTGAAGATCTTCAAGAGCTTGTCTGAGAAGTGGTCCAGCTGCCACATGAACTTTGATTGAAGTGGTGATGTTGTGATCCTCAAAAACTCCGCATTCACCTTAAAAATATTATTAACAAGCACAATACAACCAATTGTTACTTGTTATTAGAATCACAACCATGCAAGGATATAGACGTGAATCACAAAGGACAATAATAAAAGACTGTCAACAAATACAAATATTTACTTACTTCACTCTGCTGAAACAGAGCAGGCCATCTGCATTTGAAGTCCCCTATCTAACTGTTATTACCTGCAGTAGATGCAGTGTTACTGCTGGCGATAAGGGCTGGTTGTTATAACCATTTTCTGATGTCCATCACTGACTGCTGTGTAAGCACCTTGCAGATGACGAACGTGCAGCGGCACAGGTCACGCGCACCTGACATACAGTGGGGCAAAAAAGTATTTAGTCAGCCACCAATTATGCAAGTTCTCCCACTTAAAAAGATGAGAGAGG